CTAGCCCCGGCAAAAGAGTGAGACTCTGTCTCACAAAAAAAAAAAAAAAAAAAATTTATCAAGTGACTTTTATACATTCCCTGAACAAATCGCTCTGGCTATCCTTAATGATTTTGGGCCTGAAGTACTCCTATTTTGGTCCCTTTCAGCAGAATAGCCATAGGAATACTTAGTATTCCTGAGATTACACTTTTATCTTAGAGTCTAAAAAGATCTGAAATGCTAGGCAACATACTTTCCAAAATGTTTATCTCACATCTTGTCATTGCTTCTCAAATTTACAATATCCTCTTTCCCCTTCTCCCTTCACCCTCACTCTCAGCTCTTGATTTTGTGTCTCATTTCACTAAAATAGAAGCAATTAAAAGAGAATTTCATCCTCCTAGCACAAATCTACCAGGCTACTAGCATCTGTGTCCATATACTCTGCATTCTATTCTGTTCTAAAGGATGAATTGCATTCAACAAAAAAGCCCTCCCTTGCTCGCTTATCTCCTACAGCTACTTCTTTTCTCTGTTCCTCTTAGCAGCAAGACGGCTCCAAAGAGTCATCTCTGGTAACACCATTACTACTTCCTGAGCTCCCACTCTTCAACCCACTCCACTAACACCAGTAACCACCTCCATACTGTCAAATCTAGTGGGAAATTCTCTGTCCTCATCTTACTTGACCTCTCACTAGCAATTAATACAGTTGACCATTCTACCCTTCATGAAATATACTTTTTTGTTTCTTTCTTGTGTTTCTTTGCAGGATTGTTTCTTCTTGACTTCGAAATGTTGGGGTGCCCTAAGTCACAGTAGTAGACTCTTCCCTTCATCATCCATGTTTGGTCCCCAGGTGATCTCACTCTCTCCCACAGCTTTAACCATCACCTAGAGATTGTTGACTCCACAGGTACACGTCTACCCTGACCTCTGCGTTTAAATCCAGACTTGTATTTCCAATCACATGGGTGATATCTCCATTTGAGTGTCTAATAGGCATCTAAACATTACCTGTCCTCTTATTTCCTCATCTTTTCACTCGAAGCCTGCTTTTCCCTTCTCAGTAAATGGCCACTATATTGGCTGGCTTCCTCAGGCCAAAAACATAGGTGTCATTCTTGACCTCATTCTTTTCAGACTCTATAACCAATTTGTCAAGAAATCCAATAGAGTTTAGATTAGAAATATAAATACAAGTATATATTTCTCATCACCACCATTGCTAAGCCACCAATCTTTCTCATCTCCTGACCTTGCATTAACAATTGCCCCACCCTTACAATCTAATCTCCACCAGCCTTTTAAAAGAAAAATCGGATACTGTTCTCTTTTTTCAACCAGACAGTAACTTCCTATTACACTTAGGATAAAATCCAAAATAATTTCTAGGACCTACAAATGCCTACATATGCTAGTATGTTTTTGTTTTCTTGTTTGTTTTCGTCTCTTATACTAAAAGTAAAATCCATGAAGGCAAGGACTGAATTCACTGTCATACATATTCTCAGTCCCTAGAATAGTCCCATAAAAGGCACCTCGTAAACAGCTAAAGAAATGAATCAAAGAAAGGAAAGGAAGAAGAAAAAAGAAGTGATTGGATTTCCAAGGCTTTTTTTACTCTCTGGTGGAAGAAATTAATATCAAGTAATAGGAAATACTCAGAGATAATCAATTAACAAGTATTAGTTGAAAACCTACTGCTATGCATTTAACCATTTTTTCCTCTCTTCTTTCCCTGGGGTAATGATCTCAATGACTCAGCTACTTGGGGAAAACCACCTTGCAAAGCGCCTAAAACCTGATATGATGTAAAAGTAATTAGCTTTTCCTATGACTATTGTAAAGGGATTGAAACAAGTGATTTAAGAATATTAAAAAAAATCCTTAAAATTCCTTTACACTAAGGCAATTATATCTACTTGTTCATAGAATAGATGTTAAACAGTTCTCTCATACCAAAAATCTTTATGTTCACTTCATAATGGAGGCTCTTGTGTTGAGATCATAGGCAATATAAAGAATCACCTCTACACAAAATTTATAATTTAAGTAAAAAAAAAAAAAAAAGCAGGATCAGTATCTCTTGGCCTAATTAAAATGGCCCACAGGCCCCTGTTTTTTTGTGGGTTTCACATACTGTACAATGTACAATCAAACATTGGAGTGAGCTGGATTTACTGATCACTTTTGTAGTGTGGTAACTCAAGATTCCATCTGAATCTCAAACACCAAGGCATCTTCAGTCAAGTGAAATTGGCTGGGGCCTCAAAAAAAGGCAACAGCTGCAGAGCTGGCATCTGATGAATAACATTTGCATATTGCAAGTCAAAGAAAGGTTTGCTGCTAGCTACACTATGTGACCAATCCCTTGACATCATAGCATTGCAGTGATGAATGAGGCAGAAAGCTGCACAGAGCAGGGATGGCTGGGAAAGCTGGGACAGCTGTGGCCTGCAGAGGGCCAGCGCCACAGGCTTCTGGACTTTGGGCTTCCACACTCAAAATCACACTTCATGTCTCAGGGAGAGGCCAACAGATGCCCAGGTTTTGTTCAAAGGGATGTGCCAAAAAGATGCTTTTTTGCTTGTTACTTTGCTCCCGAGGAATATACCATGCAGCTGATGGCTGTGGACAACAAAGACTATATAGGAAAATGGATCTGAAACTTGAATTCTTCATTTGACAAAACTTAAAGCTGTACAGCCAATGTGGAAGTATGTCCAGAAAATAAAATGTATACTAGTATAAAAATGTCCTTCTAGTTTGAAGACAATACTATTCATGATCTAAGAACATAAAAGATCTTATTGAGGACCCTGCGCTATTCCAAGTATGGGGAGTATAATGGCACACAAACCTGGTTGAGGATTTGCATCATCCGAGGGGTTTAAAACTTCAGTTCCTAGGCCTCTCACCCAGAGGGGATTCTAATTGCTAGATTTGAGGTAGGGCCAGGTATATCCAAACTTTTAAACGATAGCTCCAGGAGATTGTAGTGCAGCAGTCAAGCACTAGAGTCAATCACATTTGAGAACTACCATGGAGGGAACACAAAATAAGCCTTGGCTGTTGCTCCTAAGCTCAAAGACAACACTAAACAGGAATTTTGTTGCCAGAATAAGATGGATTAAATATCTTTTAAAAAAATTTCTCCAACTATAAAAATAAAACAAATAAAATATTAATTTTTCCCCCAAATATATGATTGAGCTTTCGAGAAGGCAGATATAATTGTCAGAGGCCAAAAGCAAGACGGGAGTACAAATTTTAGAGGAGGAAAGAGGGTAGCAGTCACCCCAAAAGCATCTGTGGATCCATAGGGATGCAGAGGTTTGGTTTTAATGACTTACGGGGGGCAGGCGTGGGGGGCTCAGAGGATAAAACCTCTTTTGTAAGATGAGAAGCTAGTTCAGAGATCCTCAGGTAAAGCCAGGACCACCTATGGCTATACTTGTAGTGAAAAGGTAAACTAGAAAATACTGCATCCTACAAAGTAAATGGTGAGGACTATTGTCCCCTGATGATTCTAGACTACCAAGTCAGCTCTCATGTTTCTTGGGGACTTAAATCCACACTTCCTTTGTGATTCAAAATATACCAAGCTAAGAATTTTGTTTAAAGAGTTTATTTCACTACATGAAATTCTAAGAAATATAAATGAATCTATAGTGACAAAAAGCATATCAGTGGTTGCCTGGGAATCTGGGTTCTAGGGCAGGAAGAGGAAGAAGAAAAAGATTACAAAGGAATAGAAGAAAACTTTGGAGGGTGACAGATAAGCTCATTATCTTAATGGTGATTTCATGGACATACATGCCTTTACATTATGTCAAAACAAATCAAATTGTACATTTAAATATGCATGGTTTATTTTATGTGAAGAATACCTCAAGGAAGCTGAAAAAAGAAACTATAAGTTAAAAAAGTAAGTTAGACACAGGTGAGAATTAGTGAATAGAAAGGTAGATCTAAAAGAAATTA